ATTTGTGAGAAAAAGGTACTCAGGTGTTCAATGTTAGTGTCTAGAACTGTGTTTAAGCTAAAAGTTGTAAAAAGTGTCTTTTTCTGCTCTAATTTCAATGCAGAGGAAAATTATCTATGCTCTTTGGCATATGACACTATGTTTTATCTATCTTTAATACTACTTTATCTAGTATTTTGGGTTTGTTTTCAAATGTCATTTACCAAAACTGAAACTGTTAAAATGTCCATCCACTTTGTTCCATATTCTCCTTAAAATTGTGGCATTTATTAACAGCTAGCACAAGCACTTGTTTCATGATTGGACTTTAAAGCTCAGTAAAAGTTGGAAAGTTAAAGAATGGCAAACAACTAGGCCTGGCATGTGGAAAGCTTTGTAAGGATATTCTGAAGTAGAAGTAACAGAGTAAGTAAAAGCTGAGTCACTATGTCTGGGTCAAGGGCTGAGAACAAGGTTTAGTTAACTCCATTGCAAAGCATGGCAATAAAGTTAGACATGATCTATTGATTGTGAAAGTTGTCTGGAGAATAATATGTAAGAAATATAAAAGTAACTTGTGTAGAAGACAGGGAAGAGACAAAAAGGGATGCAGCTAGATGTTTTTGAAGGCTGAATACAAAAAGACTGATGGCCACAAAGCAAGAAAGTGTTCTTCGTTTTATTGTACTGTGTTCACTTACGAAGAGAAAAGTTAGAGTACAGCCAGATCATGGTAAAGAGGAAAGGAAGCACATCGAAAGAAAAGGAAAAAAACCCCAACCTTGAGAAGGCCTTGTAAAGGTAAAAAAACAAAGGTGAGCAAATGAAGACAGATTATCCATGGGGTGACAACTGCTTCTGAGGCTTTCCCTTCTCATCTCTTTACCCTTCCTTATTTCTCCTGCTAAGACTGAGTTTCCCACCTGCTCTCCAAGACTTCTGTGACTTGCTTCCTCTTCCCTGCTTTTTTTTCTGATCCAGTTGAATCCTCATTCTATCTCTGTTAATTTCCAAGTCTCTTGCTGTATGTTACAAACTCTGGACCTGTCAGTCAGAGAATGAGTACCACATTTCAGGGCCATGAGCAGAGACTAAAACAAAAAATGAATAGAACCACCACCTTTACGCTAGTGTGTCATGTATAGACTGGTTTGGAAAGCTTTGTTCCATCTTCTTCTCCTTTATGATTGTGTCTCTGGTCAGTATATGAAAGTACTGAAATCTCCCATGAAAGCTTAATTTCATTATAACACTGCCCTTCAATCAATATTGAGAAAGATTTTGTAAATTTTCAGAAACTACATAGAATTTAAGAAAAACTGAGTTACAGACAGCTACAAGATTTTCTTTTTATCCTTTAAACTAAGAGAATAATTTTCTGTACTGAGAACTGCAATTTCTTTAGAATCCTTCCAATTTTTGTAGCCTAATTTAAGTCTTGTTCAAATTGTTAGAATGTTTTCACATACTCTTAGAAAAAGCAGTAGCAGATTTCCATTATTATCATACTGCAACAGTGAATAGGTAAAAGCAATTATTAGAAGATTGACAATGGGCAATGAAAATAAATTATTTAAATCAAGCTCCACAGTAAATACTTTCACATAACCAGCAGCATCTTCAAAACCAGGGTAGATGATCTGCAAACGGTTCAAAATTTTCCACAAATACTGTTTACAGCAGACAATGTGTTGACAATCAGACAAGACTGAGATTAAATAGGGTCTGGCCTTATTTGTTATTTTTGTTTGCCAAACATTCCTTTTATAAAATGCACTATATTTGGGTTATTTCGCTGTTCACACATCTCACATGAGTATCACTTCTTAATTAGCAACACTAATGAGGGTATATGACTCAAAATATTATATTAAAATCTCTGCTGTTTAAACTGCCTAGATTTACAAATATCTTAGGAAAATGACCATGTTATCCAATGTCAAAGGGCCCTCATCATCTTCTCTGAATAATGTTGTTCTGAAGGAGAATATATTTCAGCACCATTTTCATGAAATAACAAATAAAGCAATGTCTTTGATAAAAAAATGAAAATCTATGTCCAAGGGAAATAGTTTCTATTCTCATTTCCATTAGATGAACCAGTTAGCCTAGATCGCAGGGTCATAGGATTGTAGAATAGTTTGGTTTGGAAGAGACCTTAGAGACCCATAATGCCTTACACTATTACCATCACAGAGAACTTCCCAGTGGTCCATCCTGGAAGAGACCAGCAGGTTGCTCTGTTCCCAGGGAGGAAACTACTTCCCACATGCTGAAATATTGACTGATACAGTTTGTATTTTTTTTAAATTTCTATAGGAAAAGACAGAGTGTCCTGTGCAGAAAGCTTTGATTTGCTGTTAACTTAGGCCCACAGAAATTGATACGAAACTTGCTCATCACTCCTGCTAAAGAAGTCACCTTGTATTTAGTGATGAATGAGGAGTCAGACTGACACAAATTTTAGACCCCTGCCCACATATCTGTGGTCTCTGAACTGCTGTCCACTACCAGTTGCACAAGGAAAACAAAATCAGTGTTACAGCAAGCAAGAAATAATGCTGTTGATTTTGGTCCTCCAAGCCATTTAATACCAGATATATATTTGATATATGTAGCACTATTAGAGGGGAAGGGAGGTTTGTATTGCTGCAGTGTTTAAATAATTTTTTACGAATAAAGATAATGCTAGCGGCATCCCTTTGGAGAATAGAACAATGACAATTTTTTGTATCTTTTGGATGGAAAAGTTACCTTCTCTCCATATCTAAATGTTTCCACCTTCTTGCAACAGAATAAAGGAATTCATTCTGCTATGCTTTTTTTCTGAAGATAAACTTGGGAGCTAATGACAAAAAATGGATCAGGGCTCCAAAGTCCCTGGCCCTAACAACACCAGCTGCAGAAAAACAGGATGAAAAATGATCAGGAATAAAAAGACCAGTGAAATGATTCAAATTATGGTATGCTGAAAAAAACACCCCAGTGTTTCTCTAAACTTTGTCTACACACTCTTATTCATATTCAACCTAAAAAAGACAATTCATAGTATATGACTGTTCTAGGGGTAGGGAAGAAGAGAATGAAGAGAGGAGTGTTGGTGCTTTGGTCTGGTTTAGTAATAGCTTTAACACAGGTATTTTAAAGGTACTTTCAGGAAGCTCCTCCTTTTCCTTTTATTCTCCCTTGGCTTAGACCTTGTAATAGTCTCTGCTTTCCTTACTTGGTGAGGGCTGAATCCCTGCCAATCCTCCTTTGGTTCTACTTCCATGGTCCATCACTAACCCAGTCAAGATTTGATCTTTATCTTGTTCATGGCTCTGAAAGCCTGTCAGAACATCATATTTTAACTCTGATTCTTTCAGTTCTTTGCTAAAACCTTGCTCTGGCACTTCTTCATCTCCTGCGTTTTGTGTCTCTTGCTCATTTTATCTTGCAGACTCCTGGAAGCAAGGACAGTCTATTGCTGTGTATGCATGAAGTGTGTGTGGCTCTAAATGAGGCAGCAGCAGAGACAATAAAACCAGTGAGGAAGCTGACTGTTCACTTATGGGAACAGGACTGCCTGATAAATGTGAATTTTTAAATAAATACAACTAAAAATGGAATTTAATGTTTTTATCAGCTGTTTCTTAAATTACTTAGATTTAGGTTTTCATGCAAATTTGAATAGTTTTACAAAATAATAATAAAAATATTACCAAAAACTGGGAAAAAAATGAACCTTTACTTAGAACATATATTTAAGAAATTCATAAAATATTCTAAATGCAAACTATGGAAGTAGTTCTGAAAAATCTTACCTACCCATCAAATTATAAATACATAAATTGGCTTCAGTGTTTCTGTTTGCAAGTCTGGATCTGTGTCTGAGTCATGCAACATATTGGACATATTTGAGCATGACTGCAAGAGACCACAGCTCAGTTTGTGTCATTTCAAGATAGGTTTGACTTTTACTTAGTAATATTTTAAATATGTAGTTAATTTCATATTCACTCAATAGTTGCTCTGCTATTTTGCCGACAGCTGTAATTTATCTGCCTGTCTTCATTCATTTGAAAGTCTTCAAAACCACCTAGGTTTCAACCCTTTTATCAGACCTTGTTTTCCCCCATTTACCTCAGTCAGGCAAAGGATTTCTACACTGAGCAAGTAGTTCAGGATGCAGCTCCCACCTGTGAGAAAATCTGCTCTCAAACGGACAGTTGTGCACCTTAGAAGTTAATTTCTGGGATTTCATTGAGGTATGTGGTGTGTGAGGGTTCAACCTCACAGCTGGAAGGTATGGACACTGCTGGAATGGATATTTCATATCTTGAATCACCCTTGCCACCAGCTTAATCATAGCCCATACTGATGTTTAGTATTCTCTTTATAGCCATGAACAAATTGTATAGTGTCTTCAGTGAATCAGGTTCCAGTCCCCCTGAACTCAGCAGGAATTTTGTAGCTGAAATAAAGTGTAAGTAAGCTTGAAGTGCAGTTTCCAGTCTGTAAAACAGAAAACATGGTCACACTTCAACTAAGCCCTTCTGCTTAGGTTTAATGATTCTTTATATAGGATCACTACTCTGCTTAACTTCAAGTATGTGCTTAAACTCTTGCAAAATCAAGGCCAAGAAGTCATAATTATCTTTCAACTGTGCTGACATTTATTATTTTTGTGTATCACACAGATGTTAAAAGTGCTTTATATCATAATCATAATAATATAATAACAGAAAAAGAAAGCTATGAAACTCTCTTTGCTGTTATTCATTTAATCTGGAAGGCATGCATATGCTTTAGAGATGGGCTCTCATAAATTGTTAGAGTTACAATATTTGTTCTCTGAAATTAAAATTCAATAACATTATATTGTATACAAAATATACAATAATTTATATTGCACATCTTAGGTTACCATGTTGAAAGCAGATTTCTAAGGCTCTGTCTTAATCTTCATTTTTCTTTTCAACAAGGAAACAGATACTGCATATACAAAGCAATATAAACCCAAGCAACATCACAAGTCAACACAAACTGATTATTTGCACACATTTACCTGAATGCTAATTGCTTTCAGTGCTCTCAAAACACCATTTGATGGAAAAATAACAACTTCCATCATACAGTAAAAGGCAATTTCACCAACTTAGAAAGGATAACTTGGGAAAATCTGTACCAAGCTTGATTTACCTTCATGTTTTGCAGACATGTGTACCACTTGCAACAGTTGTGACTCAACTCCAGCACAAAATAGTTGCTGAAGTTCATTGGAGGTAAAGATAAATCCTCACAGTGGTCACTTCTGGCTTTTAATCTATTAATCATGGTCTTTTCAGATTAAAATACTAGAATTGCCTACATACCCCATCTTTCTGATTTCTTCCTACTCTTTTTCTTTCTTGTACTATATTTAAACTCCATGCCCCTTTCTGGCCTTAACATATGCAGGGCATCTTACTTTCCTTGTGTGAACTTGCTTCTGAAGCTGGGTCATCTGGAGTATGGCAATACCAGAAGAGTATTTCTGAAGAAAATAAGTTTCTGCCTAATTGCCACCTTCAACACAAGAAATCACGTGCTTTATTATTGAATGAAGCAATGCCTGAAAAGATAGTCCAAGGTTATTCCATAGAGTAATTCAAGTGGAGCTGGTGTGCAAAACCCCACTCATTTGTGATCAGAAGTCCCGAAGGACTGGGGGAGCCACTCCTGTACTCAAGTACTTTGATACTTGTTCCAGACAGCATACCATGAGAGTGGTCATTATTGCTTCCAGGAGCAAAAGAACTTATTTAAGAGACTCATTAACCCATAAATCCTGGTAACTCCTTTTGCAGGAACAGCTATATAAGAAATTATAAGGCTATCTTTGCTCTACTGTGTTGGTCGGAGGCAGAGATCAGCTGTATGGGCCTCATAACCTGCACCAACAACAAATGATTTTTCTCTTCCACAGAGGCAAGGTAGGTGGAGGAATTACAGGCTCTAAATTTTCTGTCAGACTCTTTGTTTGCTTTGCCTATATAAAAGATCATCTATATGAACACATTAAAAACCATGTATGGACATTGTCTCATTGAAATCAAGTGAATCGGCTGCAGACTCTGTTTAGAACTTGTTTGCATTTACTCTTAATACACCAAGTAGCAATATAGACCAGTTAGATAGGAATATAAACCCAGGAGCATTGTGTGGATATCAAGATGCATCTAAGCCCTGGCACAAGTCCTGCAAACTGGCTAAAACAGTCTGTTCTAGTCAAGTCTCTCTGGATTTGTTGCATCACATTATATGCAATTTATTTGCATACTGTAGCTTTGGAACAGTGTCAGAAAACATGTTCTGATTGAGTGTCTGACACTGGAAACCACAGAAAATTGGCTAGATTTCCTCTGCTCCTAAACCAAATTTCCAACTGGAAAAAGAGAAGATATCAGGAGAAAGTACTGTCTAAAGCATGATTCTGAATGACATGGAGAATGCATGACAGCCCTAATTTCTTATTATTAAGTCACAGAATCACAGAAAGGTTTGGATTAGAAGGTACCCTTAAAGACTGTCCAGTCCAACACTTAAGTCATGTTGCCCTTTTGTCCTTCTTTTCTCCTTCTCTCCCTTTTTCTCTCTGAAACATCATGCTCAATGAAGCTAGATTTGCTTTCACAGTAAGGATTTTAAAGCAGTCATTACACTATATCAGATAGGTCTAATGTTGAAACTCAAAAAATACACTTGTTCTTCTCCTGTTGTCAACTGTCTCTAATTACAGATTCTGTATATATAATGAAGCAGAAGCAAGTAAGTGCAAGATAGGATTTTTCAGGCTGAAAATCTAAAAGGTGTATCAAAGCTGCACATCACTGTTATTTATTATTTGTCTTTTGTAACTTTCAGGACATCAAGTCTACACCTTGTGGAGCACATGATAAGCAAACCCCTTTAAAACAGAATCCAAAGGTTTTATATAGCTGCTTTCAGCAAATATGTGACAAACACCAAGATCCCTCAGTTCCTTCAGCTAATAATGAAATAAATAATGGATGCCTTATTACCTTCCAAAAAAACAAAAAAAAAAAACCCAACCAAAACCACCAAATATTGTCATTAGTAATAATGTAGTATTACCTATTCTGCAGACTTCCCTAGACGTGCAGAATGAAGAGTTTAACCAAGTGCCAAACTAAAGAATGAAAACTTCTGGTTGGATTTTCTGGTGTTAATGACAAAGTAATCTTGTTTGGATCTTCTTGTGGAGTAGAGTCACTCACAGTTTAATAATAAACTATTATTATTACTAGTAAGTAAACTTACTGGGTTTAACATCTTTGAGATATGTAGATGGTACTAAGCTTTTTATTGAGATTGGCTGATGGGTTGAAAGTTACTGGGAGAGGGAAAAGGGACAATGACATATTCATAGACAGTGTCTTTATGTTAAGTCTTATTTTTTTTTTTTTTAAATAAACAGACTAAAAGACTGTCTTCCTCCACAGAGAAAATTATGTATCGCAATAGAACAGTTTTAGACTGATAAATAAACATGAAGACAAAGCAGCAGTAAAAGAACAAAAAAATGTGGCCCTTCAAGGTTGGATTTCTGTATTTGTTTATTTATTTACTTTATATTTTAATATAGCAGAACTAATGTTCATAAAGCTTTCATAGAGAATAGATCTTCAATCATCAGAGTCACCTTAATTCTGGGAATCTAAAAATCAGTTATTAAGACTAAGCTAGCCTTCTTCTTTGCTTTTGTAGGCACTGAGAAATTCATGGCCTCCAGAAATCACACTTACTATGGAGTGCATAGCTCCCTGGAGTTCAGTACTCATACTGAATTAGGCACATTGATGAGTCCTGGGAATATTTAATCTGAACGTTAATTTCATTATGCTTTGATCTGCCCTTTGTGTTTCAGTTTCATTTGCACTACATAATTTTGTACTCAGAACATGTATGTTCTGTTGTATGACTATTGTATGACACAACAGCTTTGGGAAGTGGACAAGAAACACTCCAACCTTTACAGATTCACAATTTAGTTAGAGGATTTTGGGATTTTTCCCTAAATCCATTGACTGCATCCTTCTACCCTAAATGCTACGAATCAGTTGCTAATGACACTGTAAAGTATTGCACAAAATGCTGAGTGACTCTATTCAGGCAGCTCTTATTATCAAGAATATTTTTTGTCTTAGATATTTAGGACAGGCACTTGCACACTCAGAAAAAGATGCATCTATGCATTCTTTAACGTGCAATTTGCTTGCATGGGATTACGACAATGGGTGTAAAATTATCATAAAATTCTTTCTTTTAATTAACATTTCTAATTTCACAACACTATTTTAAAGGAAATTTTCCTGTATTGTGCACAAGGCCACATGTGTAGCATACAGTCAGTTCCCTGCTTATCTAGGAATCAATAAAGTGGTTTAACTACAAACTGACTCATGTCTTTAGTCCCCTCAACTGTTATGTTTTCATAGATTCAAACAAGAGGAGTGATCACTAGGATGAATAATGACAGCAGCAGCATCCCTGCAGACTCCGGAAGGGAAGTTGAGACATGGGTTTCAGACAAGCCAGTTCTATGTCCTTGGTGACAGGTTGGCACCCTGGTAAACTTGCTATGCTTTGCAGAGTTCTCAGAGAGAAAAATGAAGCTAGTAATGAAGGTGAACATGAGTTTGTACTTGCTGTTGTGAAAGGAAGGGAAAAAGACACCATACTAGTTTCAAAAAGAGTTTTTCTGCCTGTTAGATGCCACATGTAACTAGCCATTTTATTAGTGCTGCAAGAACATATCTCTGGGAGAGTAGGCAAGGGAGGAGAACTGAAGTCTCCTTTTCACGAATTGCAGTCCTCGTTAGAAATTGATTAGGTTATGATGGCAAGTTTTTATGCCTCTTCTTATTTTTCTGACCAAACCTCCTGATTGCTGAATGCCTTACTTCTGCAGGCCAGCACTTGTGTCACAAAAAGCACTGCTAAATAAGGTCAATCCAATTTCTAACAAAGCTTCAGTCAGAAATTGCAGCTTCAGAAACTATGTCACTTGTGGTGATGCATGAGATGGAAAGAGCATAGGGTGAGTTTTGCATCCTAATACTGAGTATGTAGAGTTGACAGATGGAAAAATTATCTTTACTTCTAAGTATGTTATCTAGCTACCTGCCTGTTTATATATTTTTTTTTCTGGAGCAGAGTTAGTGGGGTTCTTCACTGTACAAGGTTGAATGAATGATGGAATATTTTGTTTGCATATTATTTTCAGGATAAAGTGAGCATTTTATCTTTGTCAAAGAAATTAGATTTATTTTAAGCCTTTAGAAAATGTGTCTTGTATCGGGTAATTTCTCACAAAAAAGCCATTAGAGGGTTAAAAACCTTATAGGATTTGAGGTATATTTTCATCATTTAATCAATTAATCAAGGTGTAGAATCAGATCCCATGTTTGATCAGTACCTCCTGCAAAAGGTGTTTATTAACACTACCTGAGTCATCAGCGTGGTTCTTGCTATATTATTAAGTTATACAGCAATAAAAGAAGACAAAGTTCTGCTGCAAGCTACACTATCATCTTGTCAACTGAAGACAAATTGAAGATATGAAATATTTTTTTTCAGTGAATGATTAAGAAGAATATAAAAAATCAAGCATATGTGTGGCAGAGCAAAAAGCAGCTCCTGAGAACTTGTTATGTAAATGGCCAAAGATGAGAAATCAAGGAGAAAATACCATCCAAACCAGCTTTTTTGATCATTGCCAGTGGTTCCTGCGGCTGATTTCTGTCGTACAGAATAATTCAAGATGAATCTGAAAAGTTCCCAAACTCTTCTTGTAAGGGAGATTTGGAGGTCCACACTTAATTGACTGATGAAGTATGTTTGTGATTTGGCTGCTGGCTTCCTAAAGAGGGAAAAGGAGGGATAGATCATTCTTCTGGAGGCCTCGGGGAAAATTGAAATCTTTTTTGGTGTTATTTTAGAGCAGATATTTTATTTATTTCCTTATGTGGGAGGGATAGATGTGTAAAGACTAACCAGGCAGAATCCTAGTTCCACGCAGCTACCCAAACAAAAATAGCATTTTACCAGAAATGTGAAGCAAATTATGCACTGTGGGTTCTGACCTGAAGTTTATGTCTTTTGTTCCAGTTGTATACTGGCTCACTCTTGCATATGCTAAACATTTTCAGTGAAGCTACTACATTCAGGCATTCAAAGTGCTCACAGCTCATAGCCAACTTCACAGTAATTTGGTTAGGTGGACTGGTGACAAGATTAGATATTAAGAAAAAAATTCTTCTCTGTGATGATGGTGGGATACTGGCACAGGTTGCCCAGAGAAGTTGTGGCTGCCCCATCACTGACAGGGTTCAAGGCCACGTTGGACGGGGCTTTGAGCAACCTGGCCTAGTGGAAGGTGTCCCTGATCATGGCAGGAGGTTTGGAATTGGATGCACTTTAAGTTCCCTTTCAACCCAAACCATTTACTGATTGCATTACCACTAAATTGTCCCGAACCTCATTTTTTTTTTTCATCTCTTTGTTTCAAATTGGATGTGTCTTACATGACAACCCTAGTGACTTTGCCAAAGTGATCTTGATTAAGTAGTAGTCAAAGGGACCTGCTAACATTTGCCTTTACATTGTCACTAGTAAAGTTTTTTTTTGGAGGATGATGGTGGTATTAAAAGTGGAGCAAAGCAGAGTAGTTTGATGTTCTCAGGGCTTTATGTAATAAAACATTTCTGTTCGCATATGTGTGTGCATCTAAACAGATCTGCATGAGAGAATTCACAAAGGCTAATTTTGGCCTGAAGAAGTGAGTATCTCTGGGCTGCCCAATAGTCAGGGAAAAGAGGGAGAGACAGGCTCCTTCAGGGAGTGATTAAAGAGAGCTCCTTCTAGAAGAATGTATTTCTCTCCTCTGACCCAACAGAACCAAGTGCTGTAGGCTAGCATTAGCCTTTGTTGATAGCACTCTTAAGAGTGTTTGCTATTAGCCTAGGAGCTACAGCAACTGGAACTGTTACAGGATGGACTTTTACTTGGAAAGTGTAAGTCATAGCTCTGTTAGGCTTTTGGTCATATGAAGATTTACATGCACCATTAAAGGCAATGAGATCACTCACAGTGAAAAGACATCACTATCAGGGCCCTGCCTGTCATCATTTTTAGTCACAGTTTGGAAAAACATTTATATACACTTAGCTGGAGGCACAGTGGATAGCAGAGCTAGTTTGAACACCTATTTATAAAATGACGATTTGTCAATAACAAAAATATGTTCTAGGAAAATAACTTTGTCAACACATCTTGCTTTGGAAAAGGTTTCTCAGGTCCAAGAGAGAATTTCTGTCCAGCTATAGGCATGCTGGAGAACAGCCAATAGCCCAGGGCTAAGGCACTCACCTGGGACAAGGGAGACCCAGGTTGTTTCTGTGTTGCCTGATTCAGCCCAGGTGTTTGAATTTTTCTTCCTGTGTTTCAACTACGTGATCTGATGCCTTGGTTAAACCTAAAGTGGGATGTTTCCCTCTGGAAACTCAAAAAGTCTTCAATTACTTCAAAAGGAAATGGAAGCAGATTTAATTATAAAGCAGCTCAGTTAGGAATGCATTTAGATTTTCATTTTCCATTAAAGCATGAAGGCTTTTATTTATGAAGGCTACAAGTTTGAGAAGAATGTTTTTTGGAAAAACACCCTGCATAACAGTACATTTTCAGGTCTTAGTTAGTAAGAACCTGTGTCCCGTTTTCTCATTGCTTTTTGTATTCTCTCTGGCACCTGTTGTTTGGTAATTGTTCATTAATTTTGAACACTGCTTATCCATGCCTTTCCATATTAGTAAACTAATAAAGGCAGTAATAATTATTAATATATAAATTCAAACTGCTTTCAAATGGTTTTACAGTCAAGAACCACATATTTACTGAGAGTTATCACACTAGATCAAATATTCATGCCATATTATGACAAGACAAACATCAGAGTTACCAGTTCTAACAGG